TTGAAATGAAAAATTATTATCTAGAGGTGAATAGGCTGTGGCGGGAATTTTTGTTCTTTTTTTCTTCTTCATCTCCCTCTTAATTCCATTTTCTCTTTGTTTAATAACATCAGGTTTTAGAACAAATACTTTTATCTTTTTCTTTTTCGGGGGAGGGGGGGGGCTCTCTTATCCTTTCAAGTACCTGAAATATGGGCTATGAGGGGGTCGTATACAAATATCTTGAAGTGCGTGAAAATAAGGAGGAAAGGAAGAAATTTTTCATATGTATCAATTTTGAATATTTACTTTTGCCATTGTAACCAAAGAATGAAAACATGGCATTCGGTAAAATATAATTCTAAAACTACTCTTTATTTGTATATTAAATAATAGATAAATTTATGCAACGATAACTTCAAGTAAATTTAATTAAAACTACTGATGAAGTCAATAAATGAACAGTTAATTTGGAGTTGATCCTAGAGTGGGTCTTTTATATCTAAACTTTTTAAATGTCATATTTTCAAGGCATTCATTTTTATAAATATATATCATAACATATTTCTCTCAAAAACATTAAAAAAGTCTTTCAAATATTGAGATTTATAAATTGAAGAAATATTAAAAATAATTTTAAAAATCAAAGTGTGAAAGCATGTTCTTATAATAACATAAAAAATTACACTAAATCTGTAGTCTGGAAATGAATACAGTCACTATTCATATAACAAATGTGTATTCATCTGCATATAGTAATAAAATCAATTATAATATATGAAATCAATTTATTTTAGTATTTTGTTTTGTAATATATATAACTTTCTAGATACACAATCAAATATATCATACGATGCTTTTTTAAGTTCATGGTTATGTATATTATTTTGATTTACATAAGTATTTAAATTAAATTATTAAATAAAAACTTATTTTTTAGTATTCTTAATCGAATTTTTACATACACATATATATGAATATATGAATTTTAGTAAGTGAATTGAACTGTAAGCTCAAATATATTTTAAACCAATTTTCCTCTCATATTGCAACATTACGTTATTAAGCAGAAAAACAAATATTTTGATAAAATACTAAAAGGGGAGAAGGAAAATATAAGCAATTGAAAATCAGTAAGATAATTAAAGTATTAAATAGAAAATACGCACACGTACAATAATATGTATGATATTTTACTTCAAAAAGTATTAAATAAGTTCAAATTCACCTTGCAGATATCGATTTAGAGTCATCTAAGGATCACAATTATGTGTGTGGATTTATTTCAGATACACAGTATAGATAACCGTTATGTTCCAGAAGCAACAAGACACACGTGGGCAATTTGCAACATCATTCTTCTTTTTTAACACCCTTTTATAAGCTTCACTTGTATGTAACGGAATCTTTAAACTAGATACATATATATTTACCCACTTTAAAAAGTCAGATTAATTCGAAATTTTGCTCACTTGTCCAGGACCGATGGCAATACAATAATTTAATAATTTTCCATTGTCCTGATCAGGATCATCAGGATTAACAAATTCCAATTTTCAGATCCCATTTCCAGATTTGACGACTAAAAGATTAAGTTACAACTTAGTTCGATTAAGAAAAGAGGGTGTTTATATTAAGGGTGTTCGATTAAGAAAGAGGATTATAAAAGAGGGTGTTTTTTTAGTTTTTTAAAAACTTTAACAGAGGTCTCAGCTTATATACTTTTTCAAACAGAAGCTTCTGAAACATTCCTTAATCATATGATTTCCGTTTTATGACACAATGATTGGTCCGATGAGTGGCTGATGCAATATTGCACCATCTCACGATTAAATGTGTCAAAGTGACACTTTGTAAGGATACAAATTTACAGTTAAGGTTATATTTCCCGTTAAGCAAGTAAAAGAAAAGAATTAAGTATCAACTTGATGTCTTGGAGAGTTCAAGACCATCATAAACTAAAGAAAATCCTTCTAAGATAAAAAATAGAGAATTATTATTACTATTTATATAAATGAGATTCTATTACGGTTTAGCAGTTGAATCAATTTTTTCTTGTTTGGAAAAACTTTTCAGAAAAAATAATCAGTGTTTACTTTTATTATCGATCTGAAATGACCGTCAACCATCATAAAAATATACATCTATCTTATAAAAATAAACAGTTACTGTAACAGTATTTATTCAGTTGGTATAATTGTAATGCAAATTTCCTGAACCAAAAGCAAAAGCAATCAAAGGGAGCAGCGATTATTTAAAAATCTTAACAAAAATCTATTTCCTCCTATATTTATGGAACTTAGCGACTATTTAGATTGTAATATAAATGGGAAAAAAGGATAATATATTGAAAACTGAGCTAGCCGGGACAAAATAAATATTGTAATATAGATGGCTTCTTTTCTTTTAATGACTTTCTAGATATATTTTAGTTAATTGAGGACCAAATCATCCAATATCAAATGTGCAATCAATAATATTCTAATATGCTGTCATTTATTTAAAATTATTTTAGACACAATACAAAGGAGCTAAAAATGAAATTCGTAAGCAAACGCACAGTTTTTAAAATTAGCATAATGCGAAATAATCTTTAAATGTATATATTTGGGCTCTATATTTTAATAATCTCATAAATTTAACTTTTAAAATATATTAGAGAAGTCTTTTTATTTAAATAGTTCAATAATTCTATTTGTAAACTCATACAAGTACTCTTTAGAATACAAGAAACATTTATTATTTATGGAAATACCTTTTGACAAATATAACAATAGCTTTAGTGTTCGGGATTTTTTATTGCATTTCCATATTCCAAGATATAAAATACTTTAACAATGATTACATCATTGCCGGAAGATTATATATACATCGTTTACTAATGTGAAATAAATAACTTACAATCCCAAAACAAATTAGTTTTTGATTGAAGTCAGATGTGTTTATTAGATATACTAAATTTATAGCACATAATTTAATTGCTTTCTATGTAAATGCAATATAATTCTTTATTTCTTTCATTTCTAAACATTCTTACTAATGCTTTTCCATGTTTCTGAAATCTTATATAAAAAAAATTGTGCTGTAATATTTAACTCATAATTTCACAAAAAGCACCTTTAACACTTATAAAGAAGCTAAGTTGAAAAATGACTCCTTTCTCTCTCTCTCTGAGTTCTACCTCTCTCTCTCTCTATATATATATATATATAAATGGATGTTTGTATGCATGAAATCGCTTCACTTCAACAAAGTTCAACTGATCACTAAGAAAACTGCCCTGTATATGTATTTTTTGTGTAGAAGGATTTGTGCTATCCTCTTTGTTGCAGCTCCTCACCAGGTAGCGCTACAGCAAAGCAACTTCTGCACCGTTCAATTAATCGCCAAGTTGCCAAAAATGATGCCAACTTGGCTCTATCACCCACATTTCGCTATGTTTCCATTGGATCGCCATTATAATGTAAGGAACGTCATTGCTTGCGAATATTATAATTTTTATCATAAAATAACAGAAAGTAATATTAACGTATTACACATCCAGATATAAATTATTTACACAATTTTAAGCGTTCGTTACTCAAAATTTTTAACAATGTGTTACTTTTACTGAATAGAGATTAGTTTAGGAAGATGTTTTCAAAAATCTACCCACAAGGGAGTTACGGGCGTTATAAATAAAAAAAAATCCTTTTTTATCAGCTATTAGACCTTCAGACTTTAAATTTAACAAATATGGTTTTTTTGTTCAGCTGAGATATGCAGAAAGCTTTTTTTTGTTTAATTTGAAATTCACGAAGAATTAACTTATTAAAAACGTCTTTATCCTTCAATCTGTATTGTTTAATTTTCAATTCAACCGTGCGAAGAACGGGTATACCAGCTAGTCTTACATAAATCTCATCAAAACTCGTACTATTTATTAAAAGTATATTACCACACTCAACATAGTATTTAAAAAAATCATATACTAAAATTTGTAGTCCATATATAAGCATTTTTATTGTTCATATGATTTGACACCGTGATCAACATGCTCAGTATTCATAGTGGCAAGTTGAATTAAAAAATATTTTTCAAATCTGTCACAGGCTTATTATCCTTACACAGATTATGCATTTTTCAAATAAAATTTAATATTAAACCCAACACTGAAAAGTACAACTATCAGAAAAATCACTTACTAAAAAGTGACATTTTCACAAAACATCTAAATAAACTTCTCTAAAAACTTTCAATGTAAACAAGTACAATATGTCATGATGTTTACATTCCAGCATTCACAAAATGATCTAAATCGAGAAACAGGATGTAACGTTTTCGCGTCACATATCTGAAAAATTGGTTTCTTTTTATGGATAGGATGCGTTCCTATGCATATGTGCACCCCTAAATATTGCAGGGTCCTATCTTCTGTCATCATTCTGGCAACCTTTGACCATAACAAAAACTCTAAGTGTAATTCGAGATGTTAGAAAGAACCACCACCACCACAAGATCATGGAGTGAAAAGAGGAATCCGTTGAAAAAGACCGAAGAGAACGGTCGAGGGTGTGGCCTCCTCCCTCACAAATAGAAAATTCTGAACTCTAATGAAATAACCAATGTTTTGAATAACTTCAATGTAAAAATACTGTAATTAATAGCCGTGATGTAAATAAACTAATTATTTAATTATCTAACTCTCACGCTACCATTAATTTTCTCAAACGCCACACAGGCACACAAATCTATGCTAGTACAAATAATATAAAAAAAAATTAAAGTCAATTCCTACTTAGGTCAACAAGGAAAAATTGTATTTTAGTTAATTTTTATTAAATAATTACAATTAATATTAATATGTATATACATATGACAGAATCACAATATTAAGTGGCAAAATAGAAAGCGATTTTCCATTTTTCTTTCTATATATGGTATTGGACTATTATTTTTTGGTTACTATTTATTAATTAATTTAATTATTCCAATAAAATAGCATAGTAAAAAGGAAGAAATCAAATTCTCAAAAATTGCGCCATCCCAGGTTGTAACTGAAAACACGACCTTTGGATTAGAAGTCCAACGCGCTATTCATTGTGCTACAGAGACACACAACGAGCGATTTTCCTTTTTATATAGGGTGTTGGACTATTATTTTTGTTTGTTACTACTATTCATTCACTTTTTAATTTAATGAATGAATTAATATTTGAAAAAATTGTATTGACATCAAGTGTCATCCACTACAAGTTTTAAAAAAAGTATTTGAACTTGAGTGGATGAATAAAAAGTATTTTATTAACGATTGAAAATTTGAAAAAGATATATGTACAGTAACGCACACAAGAATTTTTCAAGGGTGGGGTCCAGGGTCGAAAGTCCACTATTCTCGTATCCTGCACCGATACGCCACCCAACACATGTTCTTTTAATTTTGTCAATTTTCGGGAACAAAAAAAAAAAAAAAGAAAAAAAGAGAAAATTAACGATTGAATAAATAATTAGCATTGATTAATAAAATTAATTTTTTTATTACAAATAATTAATTTTACGTACTATATGCATAGGGTTATAATCAATCGAGAAAAAAAATCAAGGGCTTTGGGGGGAAGGGGTCCGGACCCGAAGGCCCTCCCCTTGTGTGCACCACTGTATATATATATATATTTTAGGGAGAGTGTGTGTGAACTAATAGCAGGAATTGAAAAATAAACTAAACCACACAAAATTACCGCGAGTCTCCGCACTTTAAATAAATGTTAGCAAAAAATTTTTTAAAAAATCTACCCTAGATGAGTATCCTCACCGTAACATGATGAACACACATCTTTCATCACGTGATTTTTTTCCACCCCAAAAATACACAAATGTGTGGAATCCGATAAAGGGAACAAGAAAAAGCACATTCTGCAATGAGCACACATCCCCCATGGAGGGCAGCAGCCCTAGATCCTTCATGTCCACATGATGATAAGACACGTCAAACATGATGAATGTCCTCTCTTTTTCTCATAACCAGTGGTTTTAATATCTAATGAAAAGAGGTCTCGCGGGGGTCAACGCGATTGCCATTCGCCATTTTCTTAATTTCTCTAATAAAAAAACGTTACGGTTCTATCCTATTATTAATGTGTCATTAGATGGCAACGAAGACAGGCGTAATTGCGCCGATCACGTGAGCAATGAAATCGTCACGACGCGGTACTTGTTAGCAAAGTACATACCGAAAACCCGGAGAGTATTTAATGGAAATTAACTCCTCATTGGCGGGGGTACATGAGCTTCGATTATTAATGGAGCAATACACGCTATTGGATTAGCGGGTGGTCGCGGCCGAAGAAACGGCGCGCTTGCGTAAACACGCACATATCGGTCCTGATAGCTGAAATGGGGAGTTTGGATCCAGTTGGTTGTAGGTTTTGTAAACCTGTTTAAGAAATTCTTCTCAAACTTTCAATATTTGCGACCCAATTTTAAGTCATAATTTCCATTGCGCCCCCTTCTTACAAAAAACAATGTATTGAATGCAATTATAATATATTTTAACGGTAAAACTACTATACAATACGACTTTAATTATAAACCATACTAGTTATCAAGATAAATATTAATTTTTGAATGCAATTGTGTATATGACAAGTCCAGGGGGAGTCACTTGATCACTTAACTTGTTTTTAATTGAATATTAATCAATTAATTATCAAATACTTTGTACAGTACTGGCACATTTTTTAGTATTGTTTATTTTATCAGTGCGAATGTGCATTTCATTCTTTATTATACAAGAATGTATTTTACTCTGCTTCCTTTATGTAAATTGATAAATATTTTAAATTTTTTACTTTCGATTTTTCGATATGCTCCCGCCCCACAGTTTGAGAAACGCAGTGTTTAAAGCATCCGAATAGGTTGGAAGAGCAATATTTCAAAAGCTAATTTTCAGATGAATTTTATTGTTTTAAAGAACTTAAATAGGCTTAAAGAGACATAATTATTAAAAAAAAACATATACCACTCTTTGGTTTTGAAAAAGAAAACATTTTTTTTAATGAAGTCTTAGCAAAATTTTGAGGTTAAGAAAACTGTGATAAATAAAAATGCATTCGGCATAATGAAATTTTAATTTCATTGATTTATTTCTTGATCCTTCTGAAATGTCACAAATCGCAGGGTAAAAAATATTTTGAGAAATAAATATTTTATAAGCAATTAAATTTGACTTTAACGATTTTTTGTCAAAATTACTGCACGTTCTAAGCTAAAAATAGCTGTAAAATGTGAGTAAATGTAACTATCTTCAAACCTGCGGTTTTTTACACTCTAAATGGTTCATAACATATGTGTTATAAATTTCATTGAAATTGATTGGATTGTTTTGGAGATATCTCGTTTTTTTTCGTGTACAAATTATCGTAAAAATTTCATTCTTCAAAAAACATACTAAAAAAATATTTATATAAGTTAATAAAGTAAATTCTATAAAAAAATCTTTTAATTAAATATATTATTAATTTTTCCTCAATATTTATATTTCTTTTTTTTTTCTAATCGCCCTAATATATTACACCTAAAAATCAATCTTTCAACCTAATCGGATACCTTAAGGGTAATGTTAAACAATAGGGCCTAAAGTCAGAGAAAGCTTATTCAAGAGGAGAAAAATATAAAAACCAAATATCAGAATATTTTTAAGGTGAATCAATTTTTTATATCACGGAAACAAATTTTATGCAGCTTTCAGGACACTTGTTTTCCTAAAATTTTTCAAAAAGACAAGTTAGTCTAGTATAAACTGTTTATCTTTATGTCGTATAGAAATCAATTAATCATTGATTATTAATGTTAGGCCTAAATGCATCTACAGTAGGAATGGGCGCTAAGTCGATCGTGATCGACTGGTGGACCACCAAGACATTTTGGTGTGACCGCCTAAGATTAGCAGTTGGTAATTATATACCGAAATATTCAAGATTGACTAACAGTATGCAGACTTAGTCTTCCACTGACTATAACTACGAGAACTAACTTTAGCCGAGAATGTTTTATTTTTTAAAGTATTTTGAATTGTTTGATAATAAATGCATCATTTGATATTATTATATTTGTGACTTCCATTATCATGTTTATATCTTGCGTTTTGCTTTAAACGCGGTCTTAAAAGCGTTTTAATTGTATTTATGTATATAAGTACATATTTCGTACTTATTATTAAGTTATAATAAATATTGTGTAGACCTCTTTCTTATCTCACCAGACCTACACCACTGGGTGGACCGTAGCACCTTGAAAACATTAAAAGTAGCCCGTACCCTGGAAAAGTTTGCACGCCCCTGATCTACAGAATGATAATAATCATGATAATAGTACAGAACACTTAAAAATATCCTCGATGCGGTATACTTTAAAGTGTATATTAGAGAAGGTTAGTAAATTTATTGATTTATTATCAACAGCATTTCAAAGCAACGTTAGAATAATTGGCAAAAGACCTCTTGATCTTGAACCTCGGTCGACGAAGACGTCTCATCTAGCCCCTGCACTCTTCAAACTTCCACATAACGCCAACGTGAAGATTTCGACTCTTCGAACCCTCGACTTCCCAGAAGCAAACTTCAAACTTAAAGTCAATATTTAATAACAGAATAACACCTCAATTCATACCTCCCGTTTCTACCCCCCCCCCCCAAAGCTTCAACGCATCTAGCTCTATTTATTCTGCAGTAGGTTATATTACGGAAAAATCCGGCGTATAATGCGTACCGGTGTATAATGCGCACCCAATTTTTTCGAAGGAACCTCCAACGTACTTTAGCAATGTTATTATGTTTTACAGCCATTTGTTCGAGTTATTATCCAAAGATTTTGAAAAAGGATTTGTGGGGGTGTACACGTTACATCACTATCATTCACCCAATAACTGTAAGTGCGTATAGCATAATACAGTGAAATACGTTTAACGCGAAAAGGCTTAAGACGAAATATCGGTTAATACGAAATAGTACAACGGTCCCGACAGACTACTATGTATTTTCTTGCGTTTTTTCTCTTAACATAAAAAGTTTTTTGTTTTTGCAGCCGAAACTTGAAGAAATATTTGGGAAAGTTTCTGCATTATTGGACTGTCCTACTGCATCACCGACAGAATTCGTTGCAGTAGATGATAATATGTGTACAGCCCCAATTATGTTAGACAAAGAGAGTCGGCTGGGTGGCGTGGTTAGTTTGTCGCTGGCCTTCTGTAGCCTTCTGTACCCAAGGTTGCGGGTTCGACCCCGGCCCAAGTCGGTGGATTTTCGGGATGTAGAAATATCGACAGCGGCCATGTCGTATGATTATACGGCATGTAAAAGGTCCCTAAAGTGTCTGTTTGGCTTGGGCGCTCTCGGCAAAATTAAATTCTAGTACATGTTCGCCTCATCAGAGCTCAGGTGTCTCCATCTGTGGAGGAAACTGGGCATTCAAAATTACCTGTGGCGTGATTGGTATTCGCCTAAATGGCGCAGCACTAAAGAATGATACCAGCTTCTGGGGATGTACTAGGTCTGCAATGGTAAAAATACTAATCCGCAGCCCCATTGGATAAAAAAAAAATGTTAGACAAAGACATTTTAGAGTTAGTTCAAAGCTTAAAAAATATCATTGATGGAGATTCTGACGACGAAAATGAAATGAATAATGCAGCTCCTGTTCCCGCGTCATCAGAAAGGAGGAACGTCATGAAAAGTATGCGTAGTTATTTAGACGCACATTCCAATGGTGAAATGATTAACAAAATTGACGCTATCGAACAGTTTGTTGACAATTTGATGCTAAAAAAATGCAAAGAAATATATATTATTTTTTTAAAAACTCAAAGAATGCTTTTTTTTCAAACGCTTGAAATTTTTTTATTGAATTTCATTAACGTCTTGTGAATATTTTTGTTTCCTTGATTTTTATTAAATACATGCATATATACAAACCAATTTAAATAAAATCTACTCTAATAAACTTAATTTTCATGAATGTATGAATTTTATGCAATATCGTTTAACACGAAAAAATATTTCGGCCCCCTAAATTTCGAGTTAAACGATTTTCATCGTAACCCCATTCTATTGCACATTGTT